TACACGCTTCGCGAGCTAAGTCTAATAACTCATGTTTTCTGTAGCCCGATACCCTTATACCACGATCTGTCAAAAATTTCTTTAAATCGGGCAAAGATTTTTGCACAAGAAATGATTCGTTCTCTGCCATTAGATTAGCTACCGATTTGTTTACAAAAGTTGCCCAAGTTACGCCTCATTTTTGTGACTTCTTTTTTAAAAGAGTTCCACAATTTTGGAGTTCCGATATTCCGTAAAGACTAATCATTTATATACCATATGCGGATTCAGGATGGGGGGCGTGTATAACTTCGTTCAGGCAAGAGGTCTAGGGCCGCCTTAAGGCCCCCAGTGGGTCTGGATGAAGCACTGGTGGAGGCCAAGGGAGGGAAATTCCCCAGAAGCTCTGGGGTTTTCGGGTATTTTAAGAGTAAAACAGGTACAATTATAGTGGTATTGGTTATTATGTAGCAAAGTGTGACATTATTAATGTTGGTCATATCATACTTTGAATGAAGGGGGTTCAGGGGGCGAAGACCCCTGAAGCTCGTGGGTTTTTGTGTATTTTAAGAGTAAAAACAGGCACAATTATTTAGGAATTGGTTAGTTATGTTCCAAAGTATGACATAATTAATACTAGTGATACCATACTTTGAATGAAGGGGGCCCAGGGGGCGAAGCCCCCTGAAGCTCTTGGGTTTTTCACGTGTATTTTAAGAGTAAAACTAGGCACAAAAATATTGGTATTGTACTAAAGTATGGCAATATTAATATAATTCATATCATACTTTGAAATTTTAGGGGAGGGGTCATACACATGTATGCCTTCCTTAAATCCGCCACTGAATACTTTGTATTAATTTATCGGGAAGTATAATTCTTTGACAAGAAAATTTATCTTTTGTGGAGTTTAAGAATTGGCTTGTATTTAAAGTGATTCATCACATCTACTGAGTGCACATTGTCATGTTGATCAACTGACTACAAGTATCCAGTCTGGTAATATTTGGTTCTAAAATGGCGAGCGAAGCGAGCCAAAAAAAAAACAACTGAATTGAAGATTCTGAGGTTAAATTACACGGAAATAAAAAGGTGTTTTCACAATATTTAAATATCATAAGTCAGGGTCAGATTATTTATTTTCTTTGCAGAGGAGGACAGATTATTTATTTTCAACATTTTCAGGGACAGATTATTTATTTCCAAAATCTGCCAGCCCCCCCCTTCCCCCCCCCCCTCAGAATCAAATGGTCGTCCCCTAACCTGATATTCAAATTCCTGGCTGCAGAACTCTTTAGCGAGAGGGATTCCAACCCGGAAAATTGAATCTTGTTTGGAATTCCCGCACGTAAAATATATCCTACTCTACGATCATTTTTTGGTGGAGGAAATTCTACAGATACAGAAAATATCCCACTATAAAACAGTTTTCCGAAGTGGGAGGAAGATTTTAGAGGGAGAATCGTACTTTAAAAGACCACAAAATCAGCAACAGCACACGCCTCACCAAAATAAAAACTTTTTCCTCTCATTTTCCATAGGGAGGCATCCCTGCCTGGTTTCTGGCTAGATCTAACAGTGACTATACAGTTTTGGCGGAACGGCAGCGCATGAAATTTTCTTCTCTGCCACTCAAATTTATTATAAAACAATGAATTTTGTTAGAATTTTTACACAATCGAAGACTTGAAGAAATTTTCAAATGTAAGTTAAATTAATAGTTAGGGACTAAAGTTAATAAATATATCAATTAAATAATTATGATTTCCATACAAACGTACAATAATGTTAGCTTTTAAAAGCTTCGAATGATCCAATCTAAGTACAGATTTGGGCAAAAAAAATCCTTAGAATTGTTTTTCTCTTTTAGTAAACTATCTTTTTTTTTTGGTATATTTTGTATCTTTATATGACAACTTTACCATATATGAAAAGAAGAAAATCATGATTGTAAAAATAATATATCCTAAAAATATAAGAAAAAATAGAGAAAATTCAGATTAGCCAATGTCCATTTTAGTTATATTTTTTTTATGTCAATTTGGTAATATGATCTCATATAGATTCCACGGTAACGTCTTTAGATGCAAAAATCAAAACATTTAATCTTTTGAAATACATGCGCCATTCAAACAATGTCAAGGTTTTGTGATTTCGGAATGACATTGATGCGATGGCACAATGACGATATTTAGCGACGATATCTTTTGCTTCATCGTGCTATTGCACGATCGTCATCTTATAGTTGCGCCATTGTATCATTGCCTTATCGCACAATCGCTTCATCGTCATTGTATACGGGGTTGAGACCAGGAACCGTAATGGCGAAGGACTGGTTGAATTCTGTGCTACGTATAACCTCGTGATTGGCGGAACCCTCTTCACATATTGTGAAATCTTCAAACTGACATGAAATTCCACGCTCTCTATTAGGTGTCAGGGTGAAGCGGAGTGCAGACGTAGGCAGCGACCATCATCTAGTGATAGACTCATCAAGATCGATCGAGCTTACAACAGCAGAGGCAAGACCAACTCAAATGCGATATATCTTCAGATACCGAGGGACAACAGCGTGAAAGCTGCCTTCATCAGCGATTTAAGAAACAGATTTCAAATCTTGCAAGACATATCATATGAAGGTGAGGAGACCAAAGTGGACAACACATGGAAGCAAGTCGCCAAGTACACTGAAAGCAGCAAAAAGAAACTAGACCTTCGCAAGAAAAACACCAACAAAGACTGGATCCAACAGGAGACTAGAGGAGAGAAAGGGAATCAAAAATAAAAAAAGATGCTGTAGAACAAGTCCCCACGACTGCGTCAGAGGCAGGAGGAGCTGTAAAGTGAGACCATCAAGAGAGTCAAGATGCTTGTACGCCATAACAAGAGAGAAAGCATGGGGCAACTTGCAGCTAAGACAGAGGGGGTGGTAGAACGGGGAGAGCAAGGGAGAGTATACAAATGTGTAATAAAAGATGACACACGGTGGACCTAACAAGGAAAAACATGGAATACTGCTGACAACAGAAAAAGAAGGAGAGAGTTGAACTGAACACCTCCACGAAGTACTTTATCACTATCACTAGAATTAAACCACAGAGAATTTGGACATCAACACTGACCCACCAATTAAAGATCAGATAATGGATGCAATCAAGAACGGGAAATAACCAAGGTGTAACAAGGCCTAAAATAAAATATTGTTTGTTTGCAGTTACCTACCGACCCACTGAAAATGCACCCGACCCAAACTTTTTTTTAGCCATTTTGTAACATTATTTTTTTCCCCAAATTTTTCAGGATACTGATTTTAGTGTTTCATTTTCAATTTTCTTCTTTATCAGTCAGTGGTTTATACCAAGAATGGAGCATATTCATGTATAGTAGGCCTATGGAGAACTCTATTTTGTGTTATCTAACAAAAGTCTGAAAATATTTTTTTTTCAAAGAAAAAAAAAAGAATTCCTACCTACCTACCCAGACTAAAAATTATAGGTCGGCAACTGCAAACCAAGAATTTTTTAAGCTTGGCCCAATCTATTGTCTACGCCAAATAAGATCTTAGCCAAGTATTATTTAAAGAATTCAGACGCTGTTCACGCTGCACTGATCGAGGAAGAAGCAAGCAGGATTTAGTAAGCATAGAGGATGTACTGACTAGATCTTTGTACTCCGCAACATCAGAGAAGACAAAAAAGAAAAGGATGCAAAGAACATCATGGCGAAAGCGAGATGAAAGCCATGCCTCAGACGTTGACGAGTCTAGCCCTTGAAATACAAGAGTGGGGGAATTTTGTTACTTCCTTACACACAACAGGGTGTAAAGGACGAGATGTTGTAGTGACTGACAAAGCATCCTTCCGAGGACTTTATTGAAATAGATTAAATTTCACAAAAACTTGTTCATGTACATGAAAGAAGAAAAACACTTTCCATGGCTTTCAGCTCACCATTTTGATATACCCGGTACTGACGACGTTTGATCAATCAACAAAAGTTTATTTTTCATAATTTGTGTGTCAACTCGATATGCATGTACCGTATTCCAGTGAACTTCAAACTGAAGAAATCATTGAATCTGCCACATCTTCATATTGGACGTTTCACTGACTACATGTATAGACGAAAAGGATCAACTTACACCTAATTTGTATGACCTTACGAAATGAATAAGCTTTTCCATCGTCATCTTCCCTGATTTATATAGTAATATTCGACTACCACCGGTACCTGTAGATGATGTTTATTCGATACTCAAGAGCATGTTCTGAGTGCAATCAATTTTCTTAACCGATGTAGGTTGTCTGCGTGGCGCAGTGGTTAGAGCGTCTGCTCTTGAGTCGCGGTGTAAGGAGTTGATTTTTACGTCACGGGTTCGAATCCCACTGTGGAACGTGGAGGCCGGTCTCTCGGATGAGACCATATAAACCGAAGTCCTGTGTCGCAGTAGGTACTGGCACGAAAAAGATACTTCACTGTTCAATGACTCTGAGTTCCAAGTACAGGACAAAATTTGTAGCTTTCCACCGGCAAGTGGTGGCGTCTTATTATGAGTAAAAAATACAACAAACACAACCGATGTAGACTACTAACAGATAAGTTCATGTCACAAATACGCAGTATCAAAAAACCTCGTTTTTAGTCTGCATTTTGAAAATTTGATGATCATAAAACGACTTTTTTAGCAAATATTACCTATCATTGGGTCATGTTTTGGCTGACTTGTTTCATACCTATTGATAGGCCTTTGTTTTTATACTTAAATTTAATGCTCCATCCTCTTGTTCCGTGTACCTGATTAATACATAGGGCTCAAAACGATACTAATAGCATATCAAGGACTCATTTCAGATTCTGCCCTAACGTTTTTGATCAAATAATTCAATTTTATTATGGTAAATCGAAAAATTTTGTACAAAAGAAAGATTGTCCAAGTTGAAGAGCTTTGGACTTATCTTCCTGAATTATATTTTTCTCAAGAAAATATATTACATATTTTATTGATTTTATCTTCATTTCAGGTTAATTAGTATGGTACTTTGATCTGTGAACAAACAGAAGCTCGAATTAAGGCTGAACAAAATGTTTATTTCGCCAACATCCACACGCTGAATAGGATGACGACTCCAAACTCAAGTGAACTAGGTATATGCAACTTATTTAATACTAAGTACTAGTTTACAGCTGTACGTAATTTACTAACCCAGATAATTGAGAGATAAACGAAATAATAGAACACGATTAACCATTACGGGTGTGAATATTGACACTTTGCAGTGGTTTACCATGATTTAATTTTTTTAAAAAAAAAGTACCGACGTATGGCAGACATAGAGAATAGTCAGTAAGAACCTTGGTATCAAATCCATCAACCATTTAATTGAATAAAGTTTCATCTTCGTCGTCATCTTTGTCTAAAAAGGGTTTAAGACACGTTTTACATCGTCAGACGTGAACCGTGAATAACTTTCAGAACAAGTATTACCGTGAGCCTCAGTTGATATTTTGATTTTCAATACTACTCTCAATTATGTTGACACTGCTTTTTTTCAGCCGAAAAGATACAAAATTTACCAAATCCACATGTATATGCAGCTTTTACTTTGCATGGTGAATTTTTTGATCGCCTATTATGTATACGGATCATTGTTCTTGTTTATATTTGAATAATTTTTTTTAAAGTCCATTCTAACTTTTTTGCACTGAATATTAATATTTCAGGCTTGGTTTCAACAGTCGAAGAAATAAGTGAACGATTGAAGAAGTTTGACGTTCGACACTATAACGCTGAATACACTATTCCAGAAGGCTTTGTTTCAGCAAGTGTCCTGGTACCATTGTTTATCAAAGACGGACAAGTCTACGTTCTCCTTACTTTGCGGGCTAAACATTTGCGGTCTCATGCTGGATTAGTCGCTTTTCCAGGAGGTCATGTGGATGAAACTGACCAATCGGTTGTAGAGACCGCGTTACGAGAATCGGAAGAAGAAATTGGGCTACCTGCCAAGAATGTGGACGTTCTAACAGTACTTCCCCCTTGTTTTGTCCGACCAAATAAATTCGTGAGCTTAGTGGTTGGCATCATTCCAGCAAATTTTGAACCAGTTTTGAACGAAGCAGAAGTTTCTAAGGCTTTCAGTCTACCATTAAAGAGATTTTTGAAAGAAGACGTGAAAAAAGAGTTTCCGTTAAATGGAATTGTTCATTGGCTGTTCTTTTTTCACGATATAGTCGATGGCGAAAAAATTGAAACTTGGGGCTTCACGGGCATGTATTGTATGCTAATAGCGTTAGCCCTGACTTCTTCCGACCTAACAATAGAAGTATCAAAAGGAATCGTTGTCAATAAGGACTCAGTATTTCAGGAAAAGCGTACTTATGCGGATTTTTTAAGATGGACTTCTGCTCTTCGTAATTCAAAACTGTGATGTTTGCATTAATGAATTTGACTATGAATGCTGTACAGTCTGTTTTATTTGGATCTGTTAACAAAGTTTTATAACTTATGTAATAACTTACTGTGATAAAAAAAAAATAAATCAATTCAATAATCAAAGCTCTTTTTCCGAGACCACTGATGTCCAATTTTAAATATTTTTTTTTTTTAATATTAATATACTTTCTTTCAATTATAAAAAGTAAAAGCATATAAAGATTCGTCCTTCAATATTCTTCACTTGTAGGTTAATGGCTCCCTAGATTTGGCATACATCATTATACAGTAATCATATTATAAGGGACTGTATTATTGCTAGGAAATTCCATGGGATCAGGCGACTGGGAAAAATAAACATCCCCTGTCGCTCAGTCGCACCAACTGTGAGCGCTGTCCTATGTATCCCCTGTCGCTCAGTCGCACCAACTGTGAGCGCTGTCCTATGTATCCCCTGTCGCCCAGTCGCATCAACTGTGAGTGCTGTCCTATGTATCCCCTGTCGCTCAGTCGCACCAACTGTGAGCGCTGTCCTATGTATCCCCTGTCGCTCAGTCGCACCAACTGTGAGTGCTGTCCTATGTATCCCCTGTCGCTCAGTCGCACCAAATGTGAGTGCTGTCCTATGTATCCCCTGTCGCTCAGTCGCACCAACTGTGAGCGCTGTCCTATGTATCCCCTGTCGCTCAGTCGCACCAACTGTGAGTGCTGTCCTATGTATACTATTCAGGTAGAGGGAACATTTTGTAGTCAAATTCAGTATAAAAACAAAGGCCTTACAATTGGAATGAAGCAAGACAGCTAAAATACGACGCAATGATGTGAGATATTTGTTTACAAGGTCATTATAAAGGCCATACAATTCATGAAATGCTGCATGACTTAAAAAAGGTGGTTAAATTCCCGTTACATCAACTTATTTGTCAGTAGCCTGTTTTAATTTTAAAATTGGCCCTACTCGGTATATACTCTTGCAAAATGAATATGTTGGGAGAAGTTCACACTTTGTGCAGGTAATAACGGGATACAAGGTATAATACATGTAAAAAAGAAGGAAAGGTGACGATGGAAAAGTTGAAATCATCTTCCTAATTTGTCTTGCAGGTTAATCGTTTGATGGCGTCTATCGTCTATGGCCAGTAAATCATGGGGAAGACTCTTTTGTTTCTTAAATTTCAAGTTCACTCCGAAATATCTAATCAACATGTGAATGAGAGAAACGATTGTAAATTGATGATATATAAACAAGCAAAAAAAAAATGCCCAATTATTAACAAATAATTGTGAATTAACAGCGCGTTATAAACAAGATAATGTATCAGAATAGAATGAAGATGTGCAAGCAGAATGATTGTGTAAATGTTGACCTGAAGATCAATGCACACATCTTGATGAAGACAGCAATTTATTACATAACTTTGATTTGTAATGGAGGAAATTCTGCAAGAAATAAAAGCCTTCTAATTTAATTTTCATGCAGCTATAGTTTTTTTTAAGTAATGAAGAAAATTTAATGATTTGAAGGAAGCAGTTTAGTTGGAATGCAGCCAGTGCTTCACGTTTAATGCAAAACAATGACGTCGCTTTTTTCTTTGGTGACGTAAAAGTCCGATTATATAATGAGAGTGTTTGCTTAAAATAGCTCAAATAAATAAGTTCAAGCATATAAAATAGAAAGTATAAGTATAAAAGACAAAGTATAAGCATACTGCACTATGACAAAGAATCAGTATATTAAAGCTGAATACTGTATTCGTTAAAGGAATTTGTCGGCCACATTCTATCGGTCTCTCGCTAATCGCTATACAAGTATCTGAGGCACCCTAAAGTCGCTCCCTTAGTCACTGCACTGTAATCAATCGTCACCGGTGTAGACAGACGTATATGTTATACGTACAGCATTTTTGGTAGCGACAAAAATAACTATTCTAATGCAGGAGAGTAAGAAACTTACAACAGTTTAACAGGTCAGTGCAGTATACAGATAAACAAAAATACACGTAACTGCAATAAGAGGTAAACAAAGGGAATGCAAGATAACCAGCAGTGTTACAACGCACTTTGAAAAAAATTTTCAAAGTGTGTTAAATTTGGGACCAAATCAACGCACTTTGAAAAAATAAAATTTCTTTTCAAAGTGCGTATATTAACGCACTTTGAAAAAATGTGTATGGCTTGGTCAATCTTAGGTATGGTAAATAATTAATTGAGCCTGTTTGATAACTCGTCGTGGAAGAGGTCACTTCAGGATGTGAAAGTGAACGATTTTGATTTTTCCATACTTTGAAAATTCTCTCTCTCTCTTAAATGTTTACTGCACTTATTTTTTTCTAGTTTGCATGCATGATATCTAAACTAAAATGAATTCATTTGAAAGTTTTCAAAGTCATAATAGTTATGTGAATACACACATTTGGGTGTAGCATAGGCATTAGTACCGAGGGGGGGGGGGGGGGCTTAGGCACACAAATGTTTTGCAAAGATATACATAGTATAGGCATTGAAAATTGGGGCATATCTAAGGGAGGGGGGGTGTCCACTTTCAATTTGCTACCGACGGCTATGTACAATGTATAAGAAAAAAAAGAGTTGGGCTGAGAGACCTTCTACTCGTCTTCACCTTGTTTTCAATGAGGTTAAATGAGTGCAGGTAAATTAAAAAGTTTTTCGAAAGATATAATTATCACAAGTTGTTTCTCCCATTTAATAAAATCTAAGTCAAGAATATTTTTTTGTTTTATACACATTTTTTCAAAGTGCGTTAAATGTACCCAAGGCAAAAATGTTGATGAACACTTAATGCACCATGACTTTTTCAAAGTGCGTTGATTTTGTCCAAATTTTAACGCACTTTGAACAAATTTTTCAAAGTGCGTAATTTTTTCCAAGTGCGTTGCCACACAGCAGGACCACGTGCTTCCATTCCATGCCAATACCCGTGACAGCAGTCAGGTCAGACTCAGATTTAACGAATGTGAAGAGTATACAAAAATGACCTCTGCCTATTCACTCGTGTTCAGCTTTATCAGCATAAGATGAAAGAATTATTTGTTCTACTAATACCAGTGTTTGTTTTTGAAATATTTTTTTTATAATAGATGCATTTGTGCTAATTTCACGGTAACATTTTTCTTTTTTAAGAGGATATGATTATCGATTAAATAATGTTAACAGTGAAAACTCTCCAATAACAATTTTCTTAGCATCCATATAATTGGTTATTATTAAAACGATATTTACACTTCCCTGTCGTATTCGAGAACTTATCGTAATGTTCAATGTACAGGATACGCAATGCAATATCACAAAGAACAACTGTTTAAAAAAACTATATATATGTCTTTATTATGGCAAAAGTATTTTTTTATCAAATGTGAACAAGAATTCTAACGCAAACACCGCCAGTAAAAATCAACAAAAATAGTATCAAAACGAATATTTTACATAATATGCTTCGTTGATTGGATGATAAATTGTCTGTTTTATCTTGTATCTCATCCCCGCCTAGAATAGAACTATCCATGGAATTATAACATTTATAACTGCCTTCATTCAAACTGACATCTGCCATTTGTATTGATTGCTTTTCATCATGAGCTACAAAAGTAAGACATCTGTATTAGTTTCCCTAGGATGATCTTCAGCATTTGACTATCATCAGCTGTGATTCAATGATAACTGTGATATACTAAATGGAGTAATGTATTGCCTGTTTATAGTTAGCAATGATATCTTGTACTCACTGATTATACTGTCAGTTTCTTTGACTGATCCTTCCAGACACGCTCGCTTTAAAGCCTAAATGATATAAATGTGAATGCTATAATAGTATTTAAATATTTATAAGCTTGTGAAATTTCAGTCTTATTAAGACCAGCCCCTTTTCCTTTCATTTCTGTCGAGTGAAAGGAAAAGGGGACTGGTTTTGATAAGACCAGTGAAAATTTCACTTTCTAGTTGAAATCTTCAAAGGAAGTATCTTTACCGTTTCAAAAGATGTTTCAAAGAGGGACTTTAAAGTAAATACTGCAAGCAAGGCTAGCGTACTACTGGATACTAGTTATTGAGTATGAGAAATAGACTCTTAGAATTTTTTCCCAAGATAGAATATATGCCATATTTACTTATCACTTAAAACAGTTTAATAAATATGAAGTAAACAGTTATCATAAGAAATAAATAATTGGCAATCACATTTATTGTATTATATTAGATGATATTAAATGACATGATATGATATGATAACATGATAGATAATTATACAGATATCAGATATATGATGCATGTTAGATTAATATATATCGTGCTATATGACTGTATGATACAATGTACATTTAACCATCCAACACCCAAACCTTGCTGGTCTCCTTCTCCCAGTCAAGTGTGAAAATTCTGACACAATATATCACACAGACTACAAAAGATCCTATGATCATCCCCCAGTAGGCACCTGTCAAAGAGTGAAAAAAAAAGAAGAAGAAACGTTCATCTCGATAAATGTTGATTACCAGAATGCTAAACCTAGAATACAAAGGGATATAGTTACCAGGAACCTTTAATGGGGTTGCCAGCATCAATGTCAGGGATATAGGTAATGAAATTATATAGTAACCAAAAAAGTTGAAAACAGCACCAAAAGCCTGAAGACCTATTCCACGCAATATTCCACCACAAGTTGCCTAGAACAATATAGAAACAACTATAGAAAAAATCTGAAAAACCAAGGTTTTTGGATAACAAGAACAGTTGTATAAGATTTTGATGAAGCTTGTTTCAAATAAAAGTACATGTAATATATTATGATTGCACCACAATTATAAAAAGACTTTGAGTTAATTCTTTTATCGCGGTGTGGGTGTTGTGGTGGGTTGGGTAACAGGCAATCTTTTCATAAATTAAGCATTATATGATTTACATCTAATAATTTCATAGAATGCTACTAAATAACTTCATTATTGCAACATCTACATGTACAGGGTTGTACATGTATCTGTTTTCCAAACGATTTTTGTCATACGAGAGAATGAATGACAAAATGAAGCTCTCACTTGCACGGTATCAAACACTTTAAATAAGGCTAGCTGTAGCAGAAGAGAGGAAGCCAAGACAAGAACATCCCTGGAACAGTAAACAGAAGATACAAACTTAAACAAAACAATTAAATCCACATCACTGACTTTTAATAGTAGCATCGCATTACATTTATATGTATTACTCATAGATTTGGATATACTAGTATATTTGTATAATTTATTTAATTTATTTCTATGAGGGTTGATCCAAAAATTCGTGGAATTTCTCTCTAAAATTTTATCGTCAATCCTTGTCTTTTTCCAAATATTTTATAAAGAAGAGACTCGAGGGATTTGTTACTTTTTTCAGTTATACTATCTCATTTAATATTATATGTGCCCTTATTAGTAATAAGTATTGCTGTCATTATTTTTAGAAGTATTAGGTTTCAAAAATATACTCACGAATTACTTGAAAATAGTTTTGGAATAAAGTCTTTCAGAGTTACAAAGAAAACAGCAATTATGACCGCAAAACATGCTGTAAAACATTAAACGGCAACTTTTACTATTCTTCTTTAAGAGTTTGAAAATTTAAAAGAAAGCATTGAATTTTATTAACATTCAGTAAATATAGAATGAGTGCACACTTACATCCGCAACACATGGCCACCCTTGAGGCCACGTGAGCCATTTTTGAATCTCCCGCGCCTAAAAACAATCCTACACGGATACCCGCCGCAACGGACATACCGAAAACAATCTAGGTATATTTAAAACATAAGGATTTTATTTCATCGATTGACGATCATCTACATAACATGTATTTTTAAGGTTAGAAAAAATGGTACTAGGCCAAAATAAAAAATACCTTTGTTTCCCCTAACGCGACCGACCCAATGAAATCGCACCGATTGAAAAGATTTTTAAACTAAGACGATTCAAATATTATTTTTATTGTTAACTAAGTTTTATAATATACAATATCATCAAAATCTGTTTTTTTTTCACAACGGCCTACATTGTTCTACTGAAATTTTTAAGCATTTGTTGGAAACAATGTTGAATTTAAGGTACGTAATACATGGTAAGGCCCGCCTCCTGAGCAGATGAGGGGCTCATGCACCTAGTGAACACATGATTTGATTTCACTGCATTTTAATTAATTTGAGTTTGATCTAATAAACAGTTCATCTATGTTCCTATGTTTATTCCATTAGCGAACCCATAGGATTTGTTGTAAATATCATATATGTATGCATATTCATCCTGATAAATATAATTCAGATGTCCTTTCTTCGTGCCTTTATTTATGGAATATTTATGGGTTACACTTTGTAACTATGACATATTGTAGATAGCATTTTTATCATTTGTAGATTCGGTTTGATTCAATTAAGTATTGTTTACATACTCTTTCCAAATAGTTTTGAAATCATGATTCAGCTTCCTGAGACGTCCATGCAGTGTATTTTTCTTTAATTATGCCCTTGAAGATTTGTTGTTTCTTTGCTTTTAATCCCTTTGAGATTTGTCCCCATTGCTCCAGATTTAGCCATTAAGCAATAGGGGATCTTTTTTTTGAGCAAGCATCTTCAGCGACACTGGACAAAAGTTTTTATCCCTTTTGAAGGACCGTATTCAACGTTCTTCATTTGGGATTTGAATCTGAGACTTTGAATTAACCACTTAATTCTTAACTCCAAAGTAAAATGCTTTAGAACCACTGCAAAACTCATGGCCCTCAAAAAAGTACATTGATTGTCTATAGATGTAGATACGGACTGGAGGCTGATGGAAGGTTTGAAAAAATATACTCGGATGTCCGGTCTTTACGTATTTGGAAATCTTGTCTTCTCTTACTTATATAATTGTACTCTGGCTTGAGATATTTCACAAGTTCAACTGAATAACAGTTGTGAATAAATTAATCAGGAATTTTGCAATTAAACGGCATATGTGTGGTACTTAAAGCATTTTGTTCACAAATCGCTTTCTTTTGTACTTTTCTTCTTTATAAAGATAATTTTCCATTAAATTTTAAAATGTATTTTCAAAACTGCTATCAGAAAAAAATTGTTAACCTACCTACCGACCCAACTTGAGAATTTAGGGTCGGGTTAGGGGAAACAAAGATATTTTTAATTCCAGCCCTATAGTTTTTATTTCTAAAAATATATCGAAAAAAATTCCATTAATTGACATAGTGCTGACTTATGAAAGATCTGATTAAAGTTATAACAATTAGTATACCATATAAATCAGTCCACCGATGTTATAGACTATTGCATTTGCTGCTAAATCAACTTTTCCAAGTAAACCTACAATATTCATAGTAATTGCATGTAGTAAAAGAATGAGATGATGTAATTATGAAATATATACAGAAAGAAATTGAATAATCTGCAGTCTCTCTTTCCAGTCGAAATTCCATGACATACAAAATCAAATTCACAGAGGAAAAAAAAAAGGATTGCTGAGAGACAACCTTTGATTTTGCATTGAATATAGTATGTTCAGCAAAAATCAAATAAAAAAGTTAAACAATAAAAGAAATCTAACATAGGTTATGAAACGTGGGTAACATTTTATCAAATACTTAACTTACCACTTAAAAGGACAATTATTTCGAGGCCCCAATATTCCATACATATCATGAATAATCCGGGAATAGCCAGCTTTACAAAGGCTCCCCAGCCATACAAACTCCCCTTACTCCAACCTAGGATGTGCAGTTATGTTCGGCATAATCAATGGTTAGTACACACAAACAATTATAATCATAATTTATGAGACATGCTTTTCAGTCATAAATTCTAAGTTTCATTAATAGTTAGACTATGTAAATACTAGTGATATATTCATCAAATACAAACATTTTATCCAGCGGAGATCACTTGTAGAATTAAAAGAAAAATATATACTCTGAATTCGACTCTATGATCTGATACCTGTAAACACAGTGTGTGTATTGTGTGTGTTTCTTAGTGAAAGATCGAAGTTGGATTTTGAAATGATTAAACTATGTAATTATTGAAATATGGACTAGTCTTTGTAAAATTAACATTGGTGGTGTAAGGATAAGTATATTGTTTTATAAAATAAACAAAAGGGAGAAAAACCATTTAAACTAAGTAAAAACATGTGATGAGAAAATACTAATATTTTATGATTGATATGATACGACTCAAACTCGTTGTGGGTTATCCATGGGTATATAAAAGACATTACATTTTGGATGAATAACTACTATGATATCCTACATTTTTATATATTCGAAATTTGTTTAAGACAAACTCGCTTTTGGTGAGAATTGAATCAGAATGACTAGATTTTATCATGCTAGATTGAGATGGTTGGTAAAGGGTCTACGCCCTCTTCATCATCTTCTCTTCAGCATCGCCGCTAAATGCAACGGAGGAAGATTCAAGATGGGTCAAAGCAGTTGGAATGAAGAAACAAGGTAGCTGAGTGAACTGGGAAAAGGCACGTCAAGTGAAGTTGGGACGGAATGATATTTGGAAGATGGAACCATGCAGACTTCAGTTTAAGTTGAAATTAGTTTATGATGTTCTTCCGAACCCAACTGATCTGCTAACATGGGGAGTGACAGATGATTAAAAATGTGCCCTCTGTGGTAAACTATAGCACATATTATCAGCATGCTCAGAGGCTTTGAAAGATGGGAGATACACCTGGAGACATGATAGAGTCCTAGAGTATAGCTGACACCTTTAAGAAAGGTATCAAAAATCCAAAGAAGGGCACAGAGGACCTGAGATTCGTCAACTTTGTGAAAGAAGGTGGAAAAGGACATAAAGTTAGTGTTGAAGGAAGTGGTCTGCTTGGGACAGCAACAGATTGGCAGATGCGGGCAGGCCTCAAGGAAAGATTAGTATTTCCATCTGAAATAAAAGCCACAAACAAGAGGCCAGATATTGTCCTTTGGTCAATGGTTACAAGACAGTCAATTATTTTGGAATGAACAGTGCCATGGGAAGATAGGATCGAGGATGCATACGAAAGGAAAAATCTGAACTACCAAGACCTTCTGAAAGATTGTCAACAGACTGGATGGAAGGTCTGTTTTTTGGAGTGGAAGTGGGTTGTGGAGGATTCGTGGGGCAGTCTATGTGGAGGGCACTGAGAGCCATTGGAATAACGGAAGCAGAAAGAAGGAGATTGATAGGGAGTCTGTGCAGGGAGGCGGAATCAGCTTCCCTGTGGTTGTGGAGAAGAAGAACAGAGAAGTGGAAAGACAATAAACAGTAGTGAAATAGACAGTAAAATAGAATAGCAGTGATGTAGAGCCAAGTGGTTCCTGGCTGGGACCTGATCACCCTGTCAGCACACCTCTGGAGGCTGTGGTGGGCAATGCTGAGACAGCCGATGAAGGAGGATCCACCTGAGGATGGAACCACTCACCTTTTTATCAAGATGTATACAAGTAATAGTAAAACAGAAGGAGAATCACGAATCACCATGCGACTTACAGTGTAAGGAGGGAATCTAGTTCTCTAATTTCATACCTGTCCATGTGGCCTTATAGGTTCCTTTACATCTGATGAACAGCACGTGAAGTAAAGCCGAGAACCAGTGTGTTAAAGTTGCAGCGAGAGCAGCCCCTCTAGAATATTGATATGTATTAAGTAGTGAGTACTGCTTTTATAAGACCACAACATATTTTAATAAATAAAAACAACCGAATTATCATTATATTATCCCAAATTAGAAAAAGTCAAAGTAAATATAATTTGATTTTTTAAAGATACTTAATTAAGTGGGAAAAATACGTATATACATTAAAAAAAATTCATGAGATTACATTAATTATGCTTGATTGTTTTTTTTTTAAATCAGCTATGAATATAAGATTTAAAGGATACAACTGTAATTTATTGTGTTGCACCAAAATGGGTACCGTGTAAGATCTCCATGTTAAAACATCTGAATGCTCTATACCTTGTTTCCATTCCGACCACGTAGATAAACAATGCATGAAGTCCAGCATTCATAATATTTATCATAATCCCAATCAGTAAGCTTGGTATAACAATCAACTGAAAATAATATTTCAGGTCTTCAAAGATAGTTAACAAGTACTGTGACCACCCCCTCTATTTTGTACTATTTTTTGGAGAAAAAAAACTTTTTTGCACCTGAACTTGCATGTACTTGGAGAGTAGAATATTAATTCCATATACCTGAAAAGATAAAGAAAATTAAATTACAATGTTCAATAATAATTTATTAAAGGATTTATAGTCAAATTAATATGATATAAAACAATAGTTTTTAACCATAAATAAAACATTAGAATATTATTAATGGCCTGAAATCAATATTTTAAGATAATTCATATATAGTTCTTACCGGTAAACCGGCCATAAATATTGTGGCGTACTCCCCAGCAATTCTACAAAATGTATGTTTAAATAAACTTTATTGTGGTAATGGTAAGGATCAACATAATGATATGAACAAATTTTAGGAATGGCAAACAAACAAATCAGTTCAGTAAATTTACCCTCTCTCTCTCTTTCTCTCTTTCCAAAAGAAAACCTTATAAATGGTACAAGGGGAACACGCATAAAACTAGAAGTCTCTGTCGAGACTGAAGCTCTACTTGTTTATACTTACATGTATAACAAAGGAAGAGAAAAGTAGTTTGAGACTTGAAACTTTACAACAGCAATGAATAGAATAATGATCCCTGATTAAGTCTCTTTTTGTGGGAAGATATTGCAATACGACTACAACTGTATGGGTAGCTTTTAATAAAATTTTACAGTATTTTCAATTTTATTTACCATGGCAACATCATTCATCAAAATAAAAAAAAAATTAAGACAATTATGTGTCTCAGTTGATCAGTGTAGTCTACTTGCATGCCACATAATATTAAAATCAGACTAAAACTGTATTTGGAGTAGCATTTGAGAGTATTTTACAAAAATATGTATTTTTAGTAACTACGGCAACAATGTTCATCGAAATAAATAAAAAAAGCTACATGGAATAATGTATCTTAGTGTAGTCTACTTGTGTGCTAAGTGATATTGAAATCAGACTAAAACTGTAGGAGGGGTAGCATTTTCAAAGTATTTCACAGAAATTTCTATTTTTAGTAACCATGGTAGCACCGTTCATCAAAACCAACAACCGATACACAGAATTATGTATCTTAATGTAGTCTACTTGCCTGCCGACTGATATTGAAATCAGACTAAAACTGTAGAAGAAGTAGCATTTTGAATGTATTTCATAGAAATTTCTATTTTTAGGAACCACGGCAACACCGTTCGTTGAAATCAAAAACTGATGCACAGAATTATGTATCTTAGTGTGCCAAGTTATACTGAAATCAGACAAAAAGTGTAGGAAGAGAAGCATTTTAAAAAATTGTTTACAGACCGACAGACGGACGGACGCCGAATGCATTACTGTCGCATAAGCTCTTCTGGTCTTTGACCAGTAGAATTAATAAAAAACTCAAAGCTAAATATTTCAGCCGAGAAAAACATCAACATCTTTAAATAAATGCACACAGCTTTTTAGGAAACAGTATTAGAATTTTTTTTAAACAATTCTCAGAATTAAATTAAATAAACAATAGATAACTTGAAAAAAAAACCATCATTTGCAATTACTTTTTAAACTGTGCGTTACTTATTTGAACTACTAGTATACCTCGAAACAACAATATCCTGTCCTATTGACTGGAGAATTGTTCCAGTGTTCAGGAACAGAGTCCAGCAAGGTAAACAAGATAAAAGTAAGATCCAGATACCTAGAAAAGAACCATTATGTATTTTATATAACGCATGTACACATAAAGTTTCTTTTCAATACCCAGGAAATCGAACGGGGTTCAAGGATGCACCAAGTTAAATTCAATCTGCTGATATGAATGTATTAGAGATTCTGTTATATGTAAAAGAATCTCCAACGTTTTCTGCAGCAGTTCATGTGAATATTCAAAGAATGTCATTGACGGTGTCTTCAACCAACTACTCTTAGAGGAATTGATTGATGGCAAACAAAATGGCGACAAAATTTATGATAAGTATAATTTCTTCAACAATTCTTCCAGACATCTGCATTTATTTACGAAACAATTTGCTATTATTAGGTGGTCTTAATGTCTCAAAGTCGATCGTGCTTTTCATACTATACTGTGCTCACATTTCTAATTCGAGGCAGACTACGCACAGCTAATTTGATAATCCAGGGCTTTTAACAATCTTGCAAAGTTTGTTATAGATACAATGATCTCATTTGCAAATCAACCTGCCTTTATATCAAATGCTGACTTTTCACAAAACATATTGTCAGGGCATTATTTTCATACAAGATAACCCCCGTTTTACATCGTGTTGCGACTGTTCCATATGAAATACTCATACATGGCACCCTAAACCACCTCTGATATTTTCATTAGCCCGTGTTTTTTCTGCTCTCAATTTTAACCATTTTGTTGAATTTTGTTTCATTATCACTGTTTCTTAAAATACATGTATATGCAGATTCTAGTAAAAAAAATACCCACAAGCTGTATTTTTGAATGAGAAATCTATGGAGATAACAGTATAATACTCAAGTTCAAACGTCAATTCAAATCTGGAGCAGAGCAAATTCGAACCTCTAAAATATGAGAGTTGGGATCATGTGCCATGGAGGAAACTGTACCTTTCTGCAGTATAATGCCAACTTTTTCTTTGTTTCCGCTTCCAAGTGTCTGAAAAATATATGATTGTAAATACTAGCATATGCAATAAAACATTTTGATAAAAAACAACACCCATGCAAGCACTTTCATTGAAATAATACAAGTTGTGGGCAGAACAAGCACTGAACTTTAAATTGTCAGAGGTTATATCAGGTGCAACAGAGGATTAAGCAGGACCACCTGCTCTTTGTCATGATCTAAGAAATTCGTTCTCAGTTCAGTATGAAAATAAAGGAGTAACTACATGAATTTGTATTAAAACAAAATCAACATTCGACCCAATGACGAATAGTATTTGCAAAAATTTGGAAAAAGGGCATTGTACATATCTTCTATATAATTTGCAAAATCTTAAACTTCTTGGATTAGCCGTTTTCTTCATAAATACATTTATAGACAATTTTTAATTTTATTTTAATATTATATATTGAAAATTCAAACAACTAAATTTAAAAAAAAAGTCGCCATCTAAGTTACCTGAGAAAATAAAGTATCTACTGCCGAAGACAGGCCTAACATCACACACATTCCAGAAACATTGATAACCTGTAATAAATAAGTCGAAAACTGAACCTTGTCCTAATGATTTTACAATTTTAATATGCATTCTCTATAAGCACCGAAAAAGTTTATTATAAAGCTTGAAACGACTTCTCTCCGATTTGTATGAAATTCGCAGCACAGGTGCATCATGAAAGACATTTTTATGCGCCGGGATCGAAAGATCCGAGGCGTCTTCATATATTGTTTTTGTCCTGTCTGTCTGTCTGTTTGTTGACTCTTTGTCTGCAAACTTTAAACTTCGCCATAACTTTTGAACCATAAATGGTTGAGACTTTATATTTAGTATGCATACACCACTAATTAAGCTTTTTCAAATGACACCAAGATCAATAACCTTGTGACCTTGACTGTGACTTATATGCTATAAATAGTTTTTTTCTGCAAACTTTAACCTTCGCCATAACTTTTGAACCATAAAAGATAGAGACTTCATATTTAGTATGCATACACCACTGATTTAGCTCTTTTGAATGACATCATGGTCAATGACCTTGTGACCTTGACTGTGACCTATACGCTAAACATAGCTTCTTTGTCGGTAAACTTTAACCTTCGCCATAACTTTTGAATGAAGAAAGATAGAGACTTCATATTTGGTATGTATACTCCACTAATTAAGCCCTTTCACACGACACCAAGGTCAGTGACCCTGTGACCTTGACTGTGTCCTATGTGCTAGAAATAGTTTTTTTTAACCTTCACCATAACTTTTGAACCATGAGAGATAGAGACTTCATAGTTGATATGCATGCTTCACTAATCAAGTTCCTCCAAATGACACCAAGATCAATGACTTTGTGACCTTGACTGTGACTTATATACTAAAAATATGCTTTTTCGAACTTTGTTGCCGCCGGGCACATAGTGTTTCACAAACATATCTTGTTCCTAGATACTGTAAACCAACTTTTATCTCGTGCAAGAAATATCATCGAGTTTCGCGACCTACTTTTAACTCGCAAATATTAATCGATGCTATGTAAAATATTATTTTTATAAAAAGAATATTTTCTTATTGAAAAGCGTGTTAAACTTCAATAATGAAAACTTTACCTTAAATGTTTAATTCATTTTTGAAATATCTGAATGTAATATATACTGTAGCAAATAATATTTATATTCATTCCGCATGTCTAAGGCCTGTATTAATGTGAACATTCTCTCAAATTACAATAATGGCCCAGCGGTCTATAATTCAAAAAACGTTAGGTGGCAATCTATGATTAGTAGAGTAGAACCATCCTACAAGTAAAGGTTACATGTATGTTTATTAAAAGTATGTATTTGATAAAATAAGGTAACTTGGATTTCACGCTGACACATCATGTTCTTTGTATATAAGTAAGCATATAAACATTGTTCTTCCAGCGTATGAAATATCAAAAACGCAAACAAATAACGCAATTAGATAATGCTGAACTCATAAGGAGTATTTTCTGTTGTTGAAGTTATCTCCCTTATAATTTGAAAATGTATTCAATTTTTGCATAAATAAGCTATTCTGCTTATTTAATTTTGAAGAAAAAGGATCAAGTATAAAGGTTTTATAACTCTTTTAATAAAACGGTTAAGAACTGCTTCCTTTTTGTAAAATAAGCATTTTCATCTTAATTTTTAATGAAAAACTATGAAACATTTATGTTTCTTGCGTATGTTTATTTATTTCACAAAGCAACATAAACTGAGTCAGTCGGACAATATAAAAGGAAAGAGAGAGAGTGAGAGTGGGGAGAGAGAGGAATAGAAGGGAGGTAAGAAGAGTGGGAGGGAGAATAGTCTCTCTCCTAATTTATCTCCTCAATTTTTTCCTATTCTATCCTTACATAGCAACAAAAACATATACGAGACCCACACAATACAGCGCAACTCCGCAATCCACAACAATTCACCACTACAGAACACATTTCACCACAACACACCGCATTTTCACAACACTACATTTAGAGAATGAGAGAGTGTGTGAGTGAGAGTGGATGGAGAGAGAATGAAGTGGAGAGAGTGGAGAGAGAATGGGGAGAGAGAAAGAGGGAGTGCGTGTGAGTGAGAGTGGATGGAGAGAGAGAGAGAGAGAGAGAGAGAGAGAGAGAGAGAGAGAGAGAGAGAGAGAGAGAGAGAGAGAGAGAGAGAGAGAGAGAGAGAGAGAGAGAGAGAGAGAGAGAGAGAGAGAGAGAGAGAGTGGAAAGAGAGAGTGGAGAGAAAATGGGGAGAGAGACAGTGACAGTGAAGAGAGTGAGAGTGGAAAGAGAGAGTGGATAGAGAGAGTGAGAGTGGAAAGAGAGAGTGGAGAGAGAGGGAAGAGAGAGTGGAGAGATAATGAGAGTAGAGAGAGAGAGAGGAAGTGGAGTGAGAAGGAGAGAGAGAGTGAGAAAGGAGAGAGAGAGTAAGAGTTAAGTGAGAATGGGAAGAAAGTGAGTGTGAGAGAGGGTGAGTGTGAATGTGAAAATGTGAGTGAGAGAGAGCATCAAAAGTTTGCAATATACATGGGTGGCTGTATTTTACGCCCAACAGTTAGTTTACTTAGTTTATAAAAAGCCACAGGCATGTAACTCGCTCATCAGCAACATTACCTGTTTAATCATACAAATATATATACTTTTTAAAAGTTTATTGGAGGTTACTCAAATCCCATAAAACCAAAGCTAGTTCTTCGTGTACTTACTGTTGACGCCAACGCCACACCATCAATAGCTTCCTTTCCAAGATGTCCACAGAAACTCTGGCTTACGAACACGGGCAGGAACATTAAGAATTGTGTCAGGGCCTACATATTAGTAAACCGATTAAAATTACAGATTTCTCACTCAAGTTCTATTAAATATTGTAGATACAATTAATGAAAAAAATCTTAATTTAGAATTTGAGAATTAAGGATAACGTTTATGCTTATAAAAATCTATGTTTCGTTTGCGTTCATTTATTGCCTCACCCGAGACTCTTTGAATATGGTCTGTTTGGCGTCAATTTGGTTACAAAAAGTTTGCTATTTATTTTTATAACTTACTTCTGAATGGTTTAATTCTGTTGTTGACTTATTTTAAATAAATGAAACGAATGTAAGTAAATCTTTTATAATATGAAATAAAATTAGATAAAAAAGGTGTAAAAGAAACACTTATAAGAGCAATTACAGGTGGTTGATCTTTAACACACTATAAACGCTTTACCCAAAAGGTGTAATAACACTTAAGGCAATAAAAGTGTCTTTTCACCAGTCTCCTCAGTTTTATTTAGTACCCCATTTTCTCTTTAAATTGTTTTGCTTCTTATCTGGTATACCCTACATCCATTCTTTTCTTTATACGTTTACAAAGCATATTCTTTTAGCTTGTTTTCAAACCGTCTTCGACTATTAGTGATTGGATTCTACGAAACATGGGTTCACGTACTTCATGAATGATTTTATGATTTTTTTTGTTTTGTTTTTTTCAAAACATGATCTTATTCTAATTGGCTAAAAAAAGTCTTAACAAGATACATGGATAAACTAACCAAAACAACATTTCATGAAAAATATTCTAAAACATAAAATGTGGTTTCTGTTAAAATTGTAATCAGGGAAATAATAAATTATCTAGGATTTGATAAAAATTCATGGATGCACAAAGGCAAAATGACATTCTGTTTTTTTTTTTTTATTTCTCAGAAATTTCCAACGTAATTAATTAAAAAAAAATATTTAAACAATATATAACCATTAAAACCTGTCCACAATAAACGAATGAAATTTCATCTAAAATTACAGTGACATATAAATGTACTAAAATAATAGGCAAAAGATTGATAATGAAGATAAAAATATTAACTTTTTAAACAAAATCAATATTTTAGTTATTGTTTTTTATATACATTTAATTAATAGCAGTTTCATACGGAAACGAAAAATACGGTAGATATATGAATTTTCCATTCATAGACTTGTATTAAAATATCTTAACTCACAATAGGCCACGTGATCTTCAATAACTCCCTTAATTCTTGTTTGTACGTCTGTGTCTCCCCATCAAAACAACATAAACATCTTGTTTTCATTTTCTACAATCTTCACAGAAAACAATTTTTACACACACATGTATTCCATATTGCAAAAATTTCGCTGAAAACTAAAGTAGTCCCTTTATGTGGTCCCTTTGTATTTATATGTTCTTGCTTTACGATAACCATATAGTAAACTAAAGTAATCTCTCAATACTTACTTATACATAAAAACTCAACACAAAAAAGGTTTTCTGGGATAAAGAGAGTTCTTGTATGAATGATGTGAGTCGCCCGCGTGGCGCACTGGTTAGACCGTCTGTCCAAGAGTCGCGAAGGAAGGAGTTGACCCTTACGTCGCGGGTTCGAATCCCACTGTGGATAGAGACCGGTCCTTCGGATGAGATCGTATAAAACGAGGTCCCGTGTCGCAGTAGGTGCTGACACGAAAAAGACACCTCGCTGCTCAATGACCCTGAGTGCCGAAATAGGACAAAATTTGCAGTTCTCCACCGGCAAGTGGTGGCTTCCCATATGAGTGAAAAATTCTCGAGAGGGACGTTAAAACAACATACAATATATGAATGATGTGAATGTTGCAAAAATATGTTAATATATGTGCATTCAAATAATATTTCCTTTAAATATATAAAAAGAATCACTTGTACGAATAGGGGAAAAATATAACAATATGAAATCTGATAATTAGAAAGAGAAGATAAGTAAATATCGTTAAGTGAAGTAAATTCTTTGAAATGCAGAATGCACGAAGAAAAGCATGGTCTTCAAAATGAAATGCTGATCATTTCATTTTTCATTTCATATCCATTTACAAAACAATTCCAATAATATCATTTATAATATTTTTAGAAAGATTTGAAAAGTTAAATAGCTTACCAATCTGGAATAAAACAGGTTAAATTGTAATGGTTAGAATAAAATGACCTCCCTCTTTCTCAGTACCAAAAGTAACAGTGACGACTTTAGTGTCCTTCTTTCGACCAAAGAAGTTTTATATTGGTTTTATTTTTCACAGATTGCCTTCAGAATTATTGTACTCGCCACTATACCTTTTAAACTCAATAAAAAAATGTTTCGACAAAGAAACATCAGCATTGCATTCTAGCAGTACAGTTATTCTAGAGAACTCGCAATTCGATTTACCATTATATTCGTTTTACTTCCACTGTTGGACAAGGAGACCGGTTCTTCGGATAAGACCGTATAAACCGAGTGGTCGCAGTAGGTCCTACCACGCAATAGATCCCTCAATGCTCAGTGGCCATAAGTGCGGAGTAAAGGATACAATTTGCAGCTCACCACCAGTAAATGGGGAGTCTCCATAAAGGTAGAGGTGGAAAATTCTCGGGAAGGACGTTAAACAACATAAAAGCAAACAAACATATATTCATTTTATCATGCTAACCAATATGTTATTCTTTATATTAAATCTACTGCCAATAAAGTATTGAGTTCTATTCTATCTCCACTGGCCACTTGGGTTAAAATTATAACGGAGTACTATTAGAATAGAGCTACCAAAAATAGAACCCAGCTCTCATATTTATGAGAAAAATGGCAAAGTCATTATTTGGCTATAGAAGGTGACCATGTACAATCAAGCCAGGTAGTAAATTGCTTTGAAAGTTTAATTATTTTATTCAGTTGTATGCGAGGAGTACCCCCAATATTTTAGAAAAATGTAAGTTTCTATGTATTGATATGGAATGCCCGAGTTATCTTTTCGATAATATTATTAATTATAAAATAATAAGATAGGAGCTCACAATACTCACTATGTAATTTATGTAATACATGTTGTTCAAATATTATTGAGATCACAATAATATACCTACAGCTTTCTTCCCGGATAAAATAGAACAATACAAGATTTTTTGAATTGTTATTTATTAATAATGACAATGAACATTGACAAAACAGAAATAGGGAGATCCAGTAACCTTATACAACTTTTTTATATTCTTTTACATGCATTATTATCTTCTTGCAAATGCAAAAATACATTTGTGTGCAATGTAGGAATGAATCTGAAAAGCCATTACTGTGAAATCACTTATATATTAGGAGGTTAAATTTTCTTTTTTCAAGGTATGAAGAGACGCACGAATATTATAATACAATTCTTTAACCACGATATAAAATCCCTTTGAACCAATATATTTTTCTCAAACCACAAAAAATTGACCCCTCGCAAATAAATGATTTTACAGTAAAAGGCTCCACACCAAGTTTATCAAAATTATGTGATTTAACTTCATTATGGAGTATGACATTAAATATGATAGGCATCTGTGATTTCACTTTTGAGAAAGGATGTTTTGAATATTTTTCACTGTACAAAAAATATTGATTATTGAGACACAGTTGAACTTTATTCTTGAATAATATTCGTACTTCTTTACGATTAGAAGAAATCTAAGTGTTAACTTCTTCGTTTTGAGTTTCAATTTGCCATTAAATGAAATGTTTATCAAAATAATAAAATACAACATTTAATATCCACAATAACATGAAATCAAACATGAACAAATATTCTTACACAAACACAACCAGCCAGTATTAACAGAAATGATATCAAAATGATTATTTTACATAAAATACTTTTTTGATTTAATGGTAAATTGTCCATTTTATTTGTTTTTTCCCCACTCTGGATAAAGTCATCAATGGAATTGTAACACTTACTCCCGTCGTTTGAATCTACATCTGTCATTTGTATTGGTTGTTTTTCATCTACTACAAAAGAAAGAATGTACAATGTGATTTTCTTTTACATCACATTAAATTCTAAAAATGTAAATAAGTACTACCGGTACCTTTGCCTTAAATATATAAATTGAAAATAGTCCTGTAGTAATTTAGCTAATTGTGCTAATTTTTATTAAATATTCATTGTACATATTTCTTTTTCATTCAGTATTTATTTGCTATAAATTAAATAACAAGGGTATTGATTAAAGAAGTAGAATAGTCTTACATGATTTAATTATGATTTCTGTGTCTCTGTTTGCATCTTCAATTCCAGCTCTCTTCAATGCCTAAATATACAGGTATTGAATTTAAATTTCTTAATGAAATGTATGTATCGACTCGAATTCAAAATAGTGCAAAAACAGTTGTTTCAAAGTATTAAGAAAATCCCAAACCTTGCTGGTCTCCTTCTCCCAGTCAAGTGTGAAAATTCTGACACAGTATATCACACAGACTATAAATGATCCTATGATCATCCCCCAGTATGCACCTGTTAATCGGTATCAAAACACATTAGGTAATTGATAGTTTCTTCGATTTAAATATATATATTTCTAAAAAAGTAATGTTTAAAGGCGTTGTTTTCAATTAAATTAACATTCAGAAGATACATTAAATACCTGCAACTCGAAGATAAGTAGCCATCATCAACGATAACGATATAGGTAATGATATGATGTAGTATCCCACAAAATTGAAAATAGCTCCAAAAGCTTGAAGACCTATTCCGCGCAACAATCCACCACTTGTTGCCTAAAAATATAAAAATCATTGTTTTACTATAAAATATACAAAATACCTTTTTCATTCGTAGCACAGACTCCGTTGTGCTTTTGAGAACTGATAAATTCCTTCTTTGAACCAGTCTGTTGTGTTGCGCCTTTACACACATTTATTGCTGTTTGTTCGATCAGTAGGTAAGAAAAGACCCCCATAAAAATATATATTTACTTACGTAATATATATGTTTGTGCATTTTATGCATAAATTTGACCTAATTGGGGGAAAAAGTATAATGGGTGGGTGCCTTAGTTATAAGAACTTGTACCTAATCCCGAATACATTACAAAAAAATATGTGCATGCAAGTCAAAACAAAGTGATAGACGTACCTGTATGGTATCAGAAACTTTGTATAATGCAAGCTGGAGCATCAGAGGTGACGCTAACTCTAAAACATCCCTACAACAAGTATACTGGTCAGTATATTTAAAAATCGTTATTTTTATCATAAGAATAAACATTTGATTTAATATCTAATGTTTGCAACATCCCTGCGCTGTACGTCTTTTTAGCTATTCTAATTTTTGTTGTTGAAATATGATCCTAAACGTTTCACTGATATACAACTGGTAGAAAATTTTGAAGGTGTTCCAGCTCTTTCCTTATTTTCCCTAAATGTGAAGCAGCTAGATTGAAAGAAGAATTTTAAGTTACAGAAAATGATGTCAATTTTTCTTTATTATACAAACATTAAGTTATACATATATAGGCCTACAACACAATAAAGAACAATATTTGGCCATGGAAGCTGTGTATTGAGTTTCAATCTGCCATTAAATACAATGTAAAATGTAAAATACTTCGGATTTTCTGCTTTTAAAATAAGGAATCCCAATTGTTATGAAATATTGCTTCTTTGAATTGAAACAAAACAATTTTGTTAAATGCACAAAGAGGCAGGAAATTTCTTCAAAACTACTATACCCAGTTTTTATTTCAGAGACATATTTTTGAAAGGTCTCAATCAGTTCCAATGTCAGTAAAAGCTATGGATGAATATGAATTGTTTTGCTATACCAAGCTGGAAATACCCGCAGCAAACACAGCCTTCTACGTAGCTTTTTTTCTATTTATTTGACATAAACTAACTCTCCATGTCTCGTGGGTATACCAATGTCCTTCTCGATATAGGAAATAATCGCGTGTTTCTGCAACACCCTCTTTACTTACTGATCATCTGTGAAGATTCGAGGGATATAGTCTTTAAGACAGGCAAATAAAACGGCAATAAAGACGGCAAAACACGCTAAAAGAAAAAAATTAACAGAAGATAAAGTAAAAGAAGCAATCCAAACATGATCACTTTCCTCGACTCTGAAGGTTCGAATTCTTTAATGTCAATGGCTAACATTGTGAACTTTGAAGCTTAATTCAAAGTAAAGGCTGATTTAAAAAAAAATTGTGAAAAGAGACAATGTAAATATTATTCAAATACACAATATGAAAACTTACACCCACAGCTTAAGGCTACCCTTGAAGCTACTTGCGCCATTTTGGAATCCCCTGCCCCTAAGTAGAGTCCCACACGGATTCCTCCCGCGACTGACATCCCGAACACGATCTAAATTAAGATCAATAATTAATATATTGTCTTTTAATACACATAAACATTGTGTATATCTAAATTATGATCAATAATTAATATATTGTCATTTAATACACATAAACATTGTGTATATCTCCCGAGACTGGTGAGATCAATGATTAATAATATGCTTTTTAATAAACATAACCATAGTGTAAAATAATCATAATTATAGGAAATGCTAAAATATTAATTTTTCTTCATTAAAACTGTCGCCCACATGGCGCAGTGCTTAGAGCGTCTGCTCTAGAGTCGCAAAGTAAGGAGTCAATCCTTACGTCGTGGGTTCGAATCCCACTGTGGGATGTGGAGACCGGTCCTTCGAATGAGACCGTATAAAAACCGAGGTTCCCTGTCGCAGTAGGTGCTGACACGAAAAAGATGCCTCCCTGCTCAATGGCCCTAAGTGCCGAGTATAGGAAAAAAATTTCAGCTCTCCAACGGCAAGTGGTGGCGTCTCCATATGAGTGAAAAATTCTCGAGAGGGACGTTAAACAATATACAATCAATCAATCATTAAAACGTTACCTAAAATACATCATTAGGAGATGAATATCATAATATAATTATACCTTACCATATATGCCAGACCTCCGACAACATAAATTATTGTATTTGCTGCTAAATCGGCTTTACCCAAGAAACCTGAGAAAAACATCTGTAAACTTCAGGGTTAGGAACAAAATTCCATTGTTTACTTCACTGTATATACTTATTTGAAATTAATATAGATTTGAAAATAGTTAAAATCGTGATTGAAGCATTTTTGATGTTTTTTTTTTATTATAATTCTGTTGCCTCAAGCAAAGGAAAAAAATAATGAATGTAAAGTGATTATAAAGAAAAATTAATATACACACCACTCATGAGAATAAGGATTTCAAGGCCCCAGAATTCCAAACACAACATGAATAATCCAGGAATGGCCAACTTTATAAAGTCACCCCAACCATATAAGCTCTCTCTACTCCAACCTGAGATATAAATTTTATTGTTCATTGTAACAGAACCCATCAAAAAGATTCAACACTGTATTCTTAAATCCCCCTCTCTGAGAGATCAGTTTTACAGCTGGATCATTTCGAGAATATATTTTGTTTGGAAATGGTGTGCTACCAGCTGGTAGTATACTAATTATTAATTATTAATCATAATACAGTTGAAGTTGGTTGGAAATGGTACTTGTGCATAGTCGCCGTTCGGTTCTAACCTTTTTAAAAAAAAAACCAGAAAACGAATTTCAATAGTAATTTTCATTATCATATAATATAGTCCTTGTATAACAAGTGCGTGGACCAACCTGCGAATCAAGTAACATTTTCATACTAAACAGTTATAACATAGAGAAAAAAGTTTGGACAATCATCCAAGTACTATTTGCCTGCAATCGACCAATACCCTAAAAAAGTTTGAGACCTTTATTTACAGTCGTAGCGCCATTATTCTGTAGACTTTTTAAAGAAATTTGATAAAATAGAAACATACTGCATTAAATATGCATTTTATTTCTAACATATATACATACATACATACATATAATTCATGCATAGTATATATTTCTAAAGCAATACAAAAAAGACACATGAAGTGACCGTGATATACTTATGATAATTATTTCGCGCCAAAGTTTTGTAAGATTATTACCTTTCCATGTAGTCTTGTAGTATCCCCCACATATGATAAACAACACGTGCAATAAAGCCGAGGACCAATGAGTTAAAGAGGTTGCAAGAGCCGCTCCTCTAAAATGAAATACATCTACAAGTAAAGGCATCTACTAGCTGGTACATTAGCTCGGACTTTATAATCTTTTACTTTGGAGAGTGACTCTTTTATCAGTAGCTCTAAAACTAGTAAATGTACTATAAAGAGAAAATTAACTAGGCTTGAAGGTCAACCTATCTAAAATGATAAAAAATATATACTACAAACAAAATCAAAAGTAGATCATAATACTGGGTACAATAATACCTGGTTTCTAATCCTATGGCGTTGATAAACAAAAAATGAAATCCTATATTCATTGCATTTATCATAACACCAATAGAGAGACTTGGTATAACAATAGCCTGAAAAAATTGAAAAAAAAAAAAAAACATCCTTAATTTAATTTTAAAACAGTCTAAACTAGAAAACAAAGATACTGCTGTATTAGTCCGATTGGTCTGTTTCTCACCTGTACTTGCAAAAGTTTGGACAGTAATAAAGTCAATCCATAGCCCTACAACATATATATTGTTCAAATCAAAACAAGTTGATATATCCATGCAAAGAGAATTCGAACTTTTAAAATCATTTTCAAAGTCTTTTGCAAAAGCCCCTTACCGGTAGCCCAGAAATGAATAGCGTTGCATACCCTCCTGCAATACTATAAGCAATAAAATTGATGAAACATGAAACTCTTAAAATATGCGAAGTAGCTAAGTCAGCTCAGTAATGAAAGATAACAAAACAGACGCGGGAGAGAGAGAGAGAGAGAGAGAGAGAGAGAGAGAGAGAGAGAGAGAGAGAGAGAGAGAGAGAGAGAGAGAGAGAGAGAGAGATTATATACAGGTTATGACTATGAGAGAGAGAGAGAGAGAGAGAGAGAGAGCTGTTAACCATAAGTATTGTACTCAAAGGCCGGGATAAAATCCTTCTTTCTTTACTGGATGTGAGGCCTATTATTCCTTAAAATGACTGAAAGCAAGAAGGGGGGATGATATAGGAGTTATGTGTTACCTTCTAAAGTTTAATGATAACATTAAAAATGAATATATATATTTAAAAAGTAAATTTACAAAACATGAATGCTCCATTTAAACATTAAATGTTTTTTTTAAATCTTAGAAAGAAAAAAATACAAGGTAAATCTTAAAACATCCCCCCTTCCGACCATTTAATTAAAACGTGCTAGTCCGCCATATACAACAAATGCAGCCCGATTTCTACCATGCATTAGGTTTATAGACATCTTAATCTGAGCGAAATTAATATTCTTTGGCATTTTAAAATGTATGTTTTTCAGATACTGCGGTCGAATTTTCTCTAACTTGGTGTAGTGTAGCAACTTTTGGACTTCCGGTCATGAAACTTTCATTTATGCTATTGAAACACATGAGCCTGATGAGTAGTTGTATAGCGTACATTTGCATCTGCACTCTTTTTTTTCTTTATTTTGAGAATTTTTAGCATTAGCAATGAAAATCAATCATTTTGAGGAAATATAGGAATCATATCCGGTAAAGAAAGAAGGATTTTTTCCCCGGCATTTTAGTACAATAATTATGATTAACAGCTGCAAAACCTCGAAAATCCAAAATATTGTTAAAAATTTTATTAAAAATGCAAAATTTTGATTTCTGATAAGAGGGCTAGAAAGCAACTTCCGGTAGTGGAAAGAAATTCATTCAACCGTTAAATAATTGATTTGGCAAAGTAAAAGTTGTCCTAACTTTTTGGTACATAGTTATAACCCGAATATAATTTTCAACCTAAAATTAGGGTGTTGCGTTTCCATTGACGGGGAGTATATATACATACTCAGAAATCTCCTCCAGACATTGAACTATTTTTCTCCTCTGATTGATTGTATGTTGTTTTACCTCTCGTTCTAAATATTTTACTCAAATACCGACATCACCATTTACCAGAGAAGGGCTCTAAATTTATACCTTTTCTCAACACGTTCGGCCATTGAGCAGTGAGAAATATTTATCTCGCCAACGTCTGTCATTAAACGGGGCCCTGGTTTTTAAGATTTCACACGAAGGACCAACAACTTTCACTTCTAATGCTGAGCGCTTTGACAGTTATCAAATGCTATTTATGCTTAAATCGACTTAGGTCAGTAGCGAATCCAGGACCCCCGAGCATTAATTTCTCATCTGAAAATTATACATGTAGTTCACAGCTGAACCCACTGTGTTATTGATACCCATCTCTGCATGTTATACCAATGGGCATTGCAAAATTGGTTGAAATAACCCCAGAACGGAAAGGTTCTACTTCTTCAAAGAGTCCTTACAATAAGATGAGCTGTTCTTTTCGTGAATCGTAAACACACCTATAAATGTCTTTTTTATTAAGTCATCAGAAATGTTTAGTTAAACAGTATAGACAATTAAAATAATAACCTTGATACAACGCTATCCATTCCAAATGATTGAAGAATTAGACCAGTATTCAAAAACAACGCCCAACAAGGCAAACAAGCCAGCAACAGGATCCATATACCTGAGAAAAAGGAATTCTATTTATCATCCTTCTTCTAAACACATCGTAAATTTATTAGAAAATCTGATTTTAGGCAACAAAATTATTTTGGTAATAACTGAAATACTAATAACCTTTTTGTAAAATAACACCAACTTCCTCCTTGTTTCCACTCCCATAAGTCTGAAAGTAGTATTGAACAGCAATGATTACAAATGTTACTGTCATTTATACCATTTTATCCTCAATTTATTTTTAATCTGGTAGCTTTGGACTAGTGGTTCGTCAATACGAACTAGAAATATGTCCATAGGACATGAATGCCCCGCTGAGGATATATTAGTAAGGCAACATGAAAATTTGCATGTGTAGAAAATTTGATCAGAATATCTTGAATAGTGATGCAGTTGAATTGCTTGTTTGAAAAATATAGGTCAGATCCAGCAATCGAAATAAGTCTGGTAGTGTCCATCCCTAGATGCATCATCAATGCAAGTTTGGTTCAAGCAGGGCTTATAGTTGCTTGGGAATGAAAATATAGGTCAGATCCAGCATCCGAAGCAAGTCTGGTAGTGTCCATCCCTAGATGCATCATCCATGCAAGTTTGGTTCAAGCAGGGCTTATAATTACTTCGGAATGAAAATATAGGTCAGATCTAGCATCCGAAGCAAGTCTGGTAGTGTCCATCCCTAGATGCATCATCCATGCAAGTTTGGTTCAAGCAGGGCTTATAGTTACTTCGGAATGAAAATATAGATCAGATCCAGCATCCAAAGCAAGTCTGGTAGTGTCCATCCCTAGATGCATCATCCATGCAAGTTTGGTTCAGGTAGCGCTTATAGTTACTTGGGAATGAAGATATAGGTCAGATCCAGCATCCGAAGCAAGTCTGGTAGTGTCCATCCCTAGATGCATCATCCATGCAAGATTGGTTCAGGTAGGGCTTATAGTTACTTGGGAATGAAAATATAGGTCAGAACCAGCATCCGAAGCAAGTCTGGTAGTGTCCATCCCTAGATGCATCATCCATGCAAGATTGGTTCAGGTAGGACTAATAGTTACTTGGGAATGAAAATATAGGTCAGATCCAGCATCCGAAGCAAGTCTGGTAGTGTCCATCCCTAGATGCATCATCCATGCAATTTGGATCAGGTAGGGCTTATAGTTACTTGGGAATGAAAATATAGGTCAGATCCAGCATCCGAAGCAAGTCTTGTAGTGTCCATCTCTAGATGCATCATCCGTGCAAGTTTGGTCCAAGTAGGGCTTATAGTTCCTTAGGAATGAACCTGCTCCAAAAACTTTATCCTGGTCACCCATCTGGAAAAAGTAGGTCAGATCCAGCATCCGAAGCAAGTCTGGTAGTGTTCATCCCTAGATGCATCATCCGTGCAAGTTTGGTTTGGGTAGGTCTTATAGTTCCTTGGAAATGGTCCTGCTCCAAAAAACTTTAACCTGGTCACTCATCTGGAAAATGTATCAGTAGGTCAGATCCAGCATCCGAAGCAAGTCTGGTAGTGTTCATCCAGAGATGCATCATCCGTGCAAGTTTGTATCAACATGTGAAGTTTGATAACACCATCTTGAATGGTATGTTTAAAACTGAGCTAAACACTAATTTGAGAAAAGTGAGGTCAAGGTCAAAGGAAAGGTCAAGGTAATAAAATGTTGATGCAGTTGCATAGCTCTCATCAATATCTATCAGCATATGAAGTTTGATGAAAATATCTTGGATAGTTTCTTTGAATCTTAGCTTTGAACAGAGCCAAATGCAAAGTGTGACGGAAGGACGGAAGGACGGACATGACAAACACTATATGCCCCGGCCATATTCATGGCGGGGCATAAAAATATCCCCGCCCCTCAAAAAAATAAAATTCAAAAGCTCATGAGTTGATTTCAACCAAAATGCACAGAAAGAAGGTTTCAATTTATGTTTACTCATATTTGAAGAGGAAAGGTTCCTTTCTAAAGAATCATCAATTTGAAAGGTGTAATCTTGGTGTAAGACCATTGCTTATCTCTTCGATTAATCTTATTCTAAAGGAGAGTCATACAGGTTCATTTTTTATATGGTTAAAATGTCATTTTCTTTTAAACATGGGGAAAGAGTACGAGGTTGAAAAAAAAGGTTAAAGTTTCCAAATTAAGAAAGGTAAATCTTTTAAAATCTGATTTTTAAAAACAAGGCCATGATAATATAAAAACGTCACATTAAGACGCATGGCTCAAGTATGCACTTTAGTAAATTTTCAACTACATCATCTAGAAGCCACTTGAGCTAGACTGAAAGCAAAAAAAAAAAAGCCATGTAAAATCACATTTTTTTCGAGGTATGAGGAAAATGTATTTGTTTGTGGGGATTTGATTGCGTGGTTTGAGAATGTTTAGTAAGAAATGCATACGAAATTTTACATTTCGTGGTCGTCTTAAATTCGTTGGTCCCTCAATGCCTTGAAAACAACGAAAATTAAAACCCAACGAAAATTAGTGATTTCACATTAAGCATTTCTCTAAGTGAGAAACTATGCGATTTCTATTACATGTATTTGAATAGAAAAAAAACTGATCATCGCTTATCGATCTTGTTTTGAGAAAAAGTTTATCTCTATTATTATTAAAATTTAATGCTTTAGTAATAAAGTATAATTCTGAGATTGATACTAGTGTATAAGTATTCTCTTCTCTTATTCGAAATTTAATTTAAAAAATTGGATAAAGTTGTTAAAACTATTTTGTATATTTCCTAAATTAAAAAATGGGTTATTATTTAGCACCAAAATAAGTCTGCCCTCTGCTCATTTGTATAAATCTAAATTAAAACATACAATACATCAAGAAACTGGGCTTTTTTTTCGTTGTATTGAGAGAATTTTGAGAAAATAACAAGAAACTGAAAAAAGATATAATTGGCTTTGCTTTTAATGCGATGAAAGTTTACGCTCCAATTTACATGTACAATAAAACTAATACTGCAATGTAAGAATTTAGAAACCTTTAAAAAATAAATGTCAAGCTGTAAAAAGTAGACATCGGTCAGTCATTAAACAGAATTACACGTACACGAGATCCAAAGAATTGAGAAAAAATAGAATAATAGTCATGTGGTGATTTAATACTGTTTACAGGTATCTACATAATAACCAACAAATAAAAGAGAGATGGGTACACCGTTCTTTGTAATATTTGTTGTTAAATCGGATAACTCAACACGTTAAAGAACACTGATTTAAACCCTCCCGCAAGTTAAAAGTGTAGGGTTTTAAAAAAAAAGATCTTCTTTGCTTCAGAAAATTGAACTTAAATCAATGACGAAACATCACTTACTCAACAACATTATTTACATTATTTATATTTTCATTATTTAGTTCCAACATTGTTAGAATATGTTTTCAAAAAAAAAAATTAATCATATAAAAAATAAATATATTTGAAAAATTTGCTTCATTATAAAATATTTAGGATATTAATTAAATTCCTTTCCCTTCAGAGTCTTTACATAGAATACCTGTGAAAATAAAGTATCAGCCGCTGAAGACAAACCCGTTATCACACACATTCCAGTCACGTTAATAATCTGTAATAAAAATGTTAAAAGGGTTCTGTTTAGATTTGAATTATATTCCTCACTTTCAAGAAATGAGATGACTTAGAAAAAAAAAATTTGGGGGGGGGGGTAATTTAAAAAATAAATCTCTCGCTTCTCTAAGAAAACACTTACTACCAATATTGATATGAATTTCCTAGAAATTTCAGAAAGATCACAGTTACATGTTAGATATAGTGTATTTGTACTTACTGTGGAAGCAAGAGCAACGCCGTCCATTGATTCCTTTCCTAAATGTCCACAAAAACTTTGACTCACAAACATTGGCAAAAACATCAAGAATTGCGTCAAAGCCTAGGAATTAATTTCATAATTGATGAAAGAAATATATGAGGATTACGAAAACTATTTATTTCAAAAGTACATTAAACAATACAAAATTGGAACAGAGCAAACATGGACCTCCAAAACATCAGATGTGGAATCAGGAGCCATGGAGGAATGAGAGCATCCCCAGCCGACCAGTCAAGATCGGGAAATAACGAAAAAAAATCCGTCGAAAATCCACGTGTAAAAAATGGCCTGACAAAAAACGCCAACGTAATGATAAATTGTATTTGCTAACAAGGTCTTTTCATCATGTTAGTCCTATGATTTATCCACATGAATATTTTTTCACATGGGAATCATACAATTATACTCCAACAACAATGACGTAACAAAATACATCTTCAAAGAAGTTATGCCTTGTTTACAGTTTTATATTGTTCATTTAGATTTATTTTAGATCGATCAGTTTTCATTATTTTTCACCTTTTCTATATATAAAAAAAAAATGAACATTGCATTTCAATATTCTGAAAAACAAAATAATGATACAAGGATATTAACACTCTCGTTACAAGTCATTATTTCGCAAGTTTTATGGTTGATTCAATGACCTTCTTAGTCCAAAATATCTTACGTTTTCCGAGCTTTTCTTTTTTTACGATTTTTATATTTCAGAAATTACAATCTATCATTAAATCGAATGCAGACAGGTGTTTTCTACGTTGATTGTTATCCCATTATTTACACAGTAAATTGTCAAAAGGTTTTCTGTTGTTTCCAGTCATGACAAGGGGCAGAGGGCGGGTGTAATCAGTCGACAGGTGATGTTTACTCCTCCATGACACCTGATCCCACCTCTGATGTTTTAAGATCCGTGTTTGCAATGCACCCGATTTGTATAGTTTGAACGTATTTTTGAGCTCGATTACTTGATTACTGTTTTTAATTTCCTTATTTCATTCTTTTATTTTTGACCTATTATAGGAGCTTCATTATTTGGTTTGATTTTGACATAATACTTTTCATTTTGCTCATTTTTAAGAAGGCAATGAATTTAAGATATTGAGGGTATCAAATTTTTTATTGCTTCATGTTAACGTATTAATATATTGAATTTCTATTGGGTATAATAGTATTACGAACTAAGTATCACTAACAGTAGCCCTAATGGGATGGGATAGGTTAGATATTTTAAACAATTCTTATTTCATAATTTTGGAAGCTTTGTCTATAGATTTCATTTTTTATAATGCGTTTTAGCATTCTGTCATTTTTAAACATTATCAACTTTTCTCAATCACAAACAATAAAATACCGTCGTCACACACGTATATATCCGTGTGTGTATATATACTGATAATATGGAAGGTATGCAAGTTTTCCGAGAGGGCTAGCTGTAAACGGAATAGTGAAAATATAATTATGTGACTTAAAGATAAATAATAGTTTCACTATAGGTTATGAACCTCCTTTTCTAGACGTTCCATCCCTAATGACATATAAAAATAAAGAACAGTAATCATGTATATAAAGTCTCAATAAAGCTGTTTTTTTTTAAATAAAAATAAAAATAAAATGAAATAAAAGGGAGGTGGCATCTAATTATTATAAAACAAAAAATAGTAATTAGTTGCAAAAATCTCATTTTATCTTTAGTCTGTGTTTTATTAAGTAGAAATACACTTAGTCTCATCATATAAACATGTTTTGTGAAGGTGCTTTTTGAAATCATATAGTGTATTTTTAAAAAAAAAAGTTTATGTTTAATGTGGAATAGGAATTCCTGTTCTAAGTTTTTAACCATCATGGCTTGACGGTCTATGTTTTTTTTTAAATCACCTTATTCCAATATACAAAATACTTCCAAAGCACATCCACGTTCGAATTTGTTATTTTACAGTGAAAATGTACTCACCATTGGCCAAGCCATCCTAAGTAGCTCCTTTATTTCTTTTTTGTAAGTGTCCAAATCTCCAGGACAACAACACAACCCATTTACTTTCATTTTCTGATAAAAGAAAAATTACATAATTACATTTCATTGTTCATCATCACTCTACTAAGGAAATTTTTCATTCAATTATTAATTTAGTTTTTGTCACAAATTTGCGTTAAAGTTCAATTACTTGTCTGTTTCAAAACGTTTAAATTTGATCAAATTAAAGCCTGTTATTTCATCAAGGAAACCTGGAAAAATATGCAGACATTTACAAAAATCCTCTTCTTTGCATTACAGTGACATAGTACATTTTATGTAAAAACACAAAGATATATAGATTTTCTATAAAATTATATACATTGTACAACATTTAAGAAAGCAATTCATACAGTAACTACAATGCATTTTCATTTACATACAAAAGCTTAGCTTTTCGTATTCCAGTTACTTCAATGTATTTAATTGATTATATGTGTAAGATTTTTGATTCAGAAACATCATTTTAAATGATGCACTTTATACTCACTTTTAAAAGAGTCGAGTCTGTCCGATGGAACTGTAAAATACAAATATCGAAAGGAAATGTGTTAAGTATTTTGTATGTCTAAGTCTAAAACTTTAAAGACGTACACTGTTTATTTCCCACATTAAATGCCAGATTGATGTATATTAAAATGTACTTTTAAATGATTTATTATGAAGTATTTGGCAAATCCAAAACATCAATATTTTTAGTTTTTATTTCAATTTTAAGCGATGCTTCATGAACAAATCAATGCGTTCCAATCTGTCGGCAAAGAGGAAATCAAAACATCTGCTTTTTGATACAAATGCATTCAATTGTATCCATTAGTTGAAGAATACAATCTTAATCATAATATTTATAATTATCATTTAAAATCGAAAATATTAGGTTTCAAACAAAATAAAGAAATCAGACGAAAACTATAGGAGTAGCATTTTGAATTTCTATTTCTAGTAACCAATGAAACACTGTTCGGTGAAATTAAAAACCATTTTACAAATTATGTATCGTAGTGTAATCTTTGTGTGCCAAGTTATATTAAAATCAAATCAAAACTGTAGGAGGAGTAGCATTTTTGAAAACTTTAAGTTGTTTACAGACAGACACCTTGCTATCGCATAACATAAGCTCTTCTGCTCTCTGACAAGTAGAACTAAAATGCACAACAAATGTAACAACAGAATTCTGAATTAGGACCTCAAGTACCCCTTCAACTTTAAGACATACCTCTTACTATAATCCTGGTAACGTCTCTACAGAGTTCAATCTTAGTTTAAAATTCAACAGAATGAAAATATTAAAAAAATTAAATAAATACTCAATTTCAGAATTGAAAAGTAAGGTGCTTACTTCCTTTTAGAATATTGTTTACCGATAGTACTATTCATCAGATTAAAGTGACCCTCTGACAGTATCCCCCTTTAAACAACTGAAAATTCCATGCCCCGATTAATTCACAAAGATAGATTCAGTGAGGTGTTTGAGACGAGAAAGAATTCGAAGCTCCATTATGCTATTGATATCAGCATGTATCAAAATTGTTTATAGAATTTTGTGTAGTCGTGAAAGGATTTAATATTTTTCCCTAAGAAGATAAGCAAGGTACAAATATCAGCATGACATGTCAAGCTATGAAGAGTACCACATCAAAAACAAAATTTAAATACAAATACAAATATTCATTGGCACAAACACAATTACAATATTTGGCAAAGGCATCATATTATGAATATTTAAATAATAAACTAGAGGTACAATGAGCAATGAGCTCGCTAAATGATACCCCCGCCTCCCATATAAATATAATGGCAGTGTCCATATTTTTTTGCCTTGGGAAACCCATAATATGTGTCGGATCAAAAAGTAAAATAGGAGGTGCACAATGGCAATATATAATAAAGATTCTGTGAAAGTATCATCAAATTTCATTTAGTGGTATGAGAGGAACTGCAGATAAAAGATTGATACCCCAAAGCCTTCACAGACGGACGGACGGACATAGACATCCCAATAACATAAATATACCCTCCCGCTTTTCAAGCGGGGAGTATAAACAAGAAAAGAAAAAAAAACAAGAAAAATAAATCATGCATATTTTAATGCTAACCTCTGGAGAACTAAAATACGATGCAAAAAAACCTTACATAGTCACAATAACGTTGAGTTAATTGTGTAAACCATCTTTGAATGACGATATTGAAGACAAGATTAGGTTTTAAAGAGTTAATTACATGAAATCTAATGGGTAACAAGCTGCATCTATTGTTAGCCACATGTGTTCTGGCATTAAATAAGAGTTGTCGTCTCATTTAATAATAACTAGAAATTACCGGAAGTACAAATGTTCAATATTTATTCATCTTAACAGAATATAATATACGAGGGGTGATCAAAAGTTCGCGAACTATCTCTATATATACAGAACCACAATTCAGATCAGAATGAAATTTGGCACATATAGAGTCATACACATGTTCAATAAAAAGCACATATAATAAAACGCTTTGTCCCATGTTTGTGACGTCACAGTGTAACAATGACATCAATATGTAGGTCACTTGTGACAAAAAATGGTTGATTCAGGCGTATTCGAGAAACGAACGACTGTAAAGTTAAACATATATCTTGGAAATTCCTTTGCAATTAGTATAAAAGAATTTGTAAACGGTTTATGAAGACAGAAGACTTGCCAGAAGTTTAGTCATTAAATGGATTGATTGTTTAAGTGAAGGAAGGGAGATGTTAAAAAATGATGTTTGTTCTGTCGCCCAGTGAAACCAAGCTGTGGAAAAGAAGTGTCCTTTATTAAGAAATTTGAAATGAACGATTACAACTTACAGTTTGAAAAATAGTTGAATATCTTTAATAATATAAATATTAAATTCCTAAAAAATCGTTTACTTCACACTTTAAACATATCAAATATGATAAAAAGAAGGTGACCTATTTTATCGACATTGAAAAAACGACGCTCCAAAGACAGAGTACTTGGGTTTTGATGGTCACCATGCTGGAAAGGGATATCATTGTCTACCCATACTATTTCCGAGATTTGGACATTTCTGACAAATTGACTGTTTTTGTTATGAAAAATAACTTGCATGGCAAGAAATATAAGAGTAGGAAAATTTTTAACTTATGTGACGGAACGCTACGAAGCATGTCACGTGACCGCCTATATCACGTGATCCGCGCATGGACAGTACGGTCGCAGATGCGCGTTAAAATCAGAGTTGACTACTTTGAAAAAAAAAAAAAACACTGACACCCTATATCATTTCTTTTTTGGAAGTCAATAAATTACATATACTAGTAGTTTGCGAACTTTTTTATCACCCCTCGTATATCAACTGAAAGTCTCGTATTCTAAAAAAACAAACAACAAGGGATAATTGTTATCAAAGAAAGTCAACAAAACGAATTTACCGTCTGGTGAAATAAAAAATAACAGACCTTAATTTTTTCGTTTTCATTTGCTGACAGACTTGATCTCATTTATCTTGTTAACGACGTTCGATCCTGATATTTAAAGTCTTAAACTTTTTTTGCCAAGTATATTTTTAGTTTCTACATACATAGCTTAATTAAAATACAAATCAAAAAATGGGGGTCACTACGCTTCTTTTGGCGCTACAGTACATTTAATATGACCTTTTTGCACTGAAATTTGTGTCTTAATTAAAAATTATATTTTTGACGTTTTCCCTCCAATATTTTTATTCAATTAAAGCATGAAACAAAATGAACTCTAAGTTTGTTTAAAAAAAGACACTTAAAAATTGTGACTAAGAAAAAGTTTTAAATTGCTTCACATGATCAATTATTTGACTTTTCTGCACTAATAAAAAGTGATTTTTCTGGCATTGAAAATTTAATAAGCAAGAAAATTATTTTAAAGTCTTAAACTTTTTCTGATTTTAAGCAAATAGGCCAAATTTATCTTGAATATTTAGAAAAGAACATCAAAAGCGGGGGTATATGATGTAAATTTTCAGATAATACTAAAAAAGTGTCAATTTTACGTTAAAATTGGCTAATTTTTTCCCCCGGATTTTCAGAATATATTTACTATATTTGTCACACTTTGTTGATAGAATACATAAGAAATAATTTAATTAGGGATGTCAATTTTACTCGGGCAGCTTAGTCGAATAGTCAGATGCTTTAGTCGAACGATAGTCGAATATTCGTTTAATTTTGATTATTTTTTCATATCATCTTCACTATTTGTCTTTTACAGACTAGTTTACTATATTTAACCTACGCTATCTGAATTGTAAACAAGTACGCAGTACAATAAAAACTGTACATCAATATGTATCCAATGTATTTAATTTCAAAATTAATATATTAGCTGCACATTTTATCTAAATGCAGGATATCAAAAGCTGGATTTGTCCTTTCTTTACATAACGGTAGTACATGTACCCCATAATTGAAGCCAATTTCTACGTGTCCGTCATTGACCTTTGACAGGTAAACAATTTTAAAAAGTGTGTCTCTTATAAAAACAAAGAGGGAGAGAGAGAGAGAGAGAGCTTGGGATAAATTTTAATTATAAAATTTTGTGCAAACAATCAATGATTGCATGAAATTAATACAGAAAAAGAAAACACGGTTTAATTACTCTCATAACTGACTCCAATTTTCATATATTTTGAAGACATGTTTGCCGAACATACGTACAAATAATTTCCTTTGAACAGTTATACCGTACCCTTAATTTTTACATATGAAAATATTGATCTGTAAATAAATGAAAGGGGCAAATATAAGTTTATTGCCTTGAATTCAACATTACTTAGATGAAACAGATTTTTAACGAATAACCGACTAAAGAAATTTTAGTCGATAGTCGGTATGATCGAACGATAGTTGAGTACTCGAATATTCGTTGACATCCCTAAAATTAATAGTTATTTCAGAACCAGCATAGCACAGTTAACTGCAAAAAACAGCTTTTTGTGCAACCAGGATGGAAAAATAGGAATCCAAAATTAACAATAATGTTATAGTTCAAAATGGAAAAACTGATCAT